GGTCCCCAATTAGCGCTGCTCCTCTAGAGTGCCTCGAGTCGCCTCTTGGGCCCCCCCCAAGAGGCCAAAATCCTTCCAAAACCTGACTAAAATCAATGTTTTCTGCTTTCTCGCCTTTTCGCTCTTGGACCCGTCTTGGGAGCCTCTTGGGCCTCTTGGGGGTCTCTTGGGAGCCTTTTGGAGGCCTCTTGGGCGCCTCTTGGGGCCTCTTGGGGCGCTCTCGGGGCGCTCTTGGGGCGCTCTTGGGAGCCTTCGGGGCGCTCTTGGGGCCATCTTGCAGGAGATCGATCAGAGAAGAGGGGGTCCCCAATTAGCGTTGCCCCTCTAGAGTGCCTCGAGTCGCCTCTTGGGCCCCCCAAGAGGCCAAAATCCTTCCAAAACCTAAATAAAATCAATGTTTTCTGTTTTCTCGCCTTTTCGCTCTTGGAGCCGTCTTGGGCCATCTTGGACTCTCTTGGGGCCTCTTGGGGGTCTCTTGGCAACGTCTTGGAGGCTTCTTGGGGGCCTCTTGGGGTCTCTTGGGGCCCTCTTGGGGCGCTCTTGGGAGCCTTCGGGGCGCTCTTTGGGCCATCTTGGAGGAGATCTATCAAAGAAGGGGGGTTTGCTTATTAGCCCCGCCCCTCCAGAGTGCCTCGAGTCGCCTCTTGGGCCCCCCCAAGATGCCAAAATCCTTCCAAAACCTAGGTAAAATCAATGTTTTGTGTTTTCTCGCCTTGTTCGCTCTTGGAGCTGTCTTGGGCCATCTTGGACGCTCTGACACCTCGCGACCGGCCCCGTCCAGGTCAGTGGGGAGGGGTAAGGGGAGGGGTAAACCCCTCCCCGAAGGGGAAGAAGGGGGTTGGCAGAGGAAACTCCCTAGACCACCTACGCCCTAAAGGGCTGGTGGGATTCCAAAAAGGACCCCCCCGTGGCATGCGCAACGGGAAAGAGTGCACTGCGTACATTGGACGGTGAGGAGTAGGAGGTAATCCCACCAGCCCTTTAGGGCGTAGGTGGTCTAGGGAGTTTCCTCTGCCAACCCCCTTCTTCCCCTTCGGGGAGGGGTTTACCCCTCCCCTTACCCCTCCCCACTGACCTGGACGGGGCCGGTCGCGAGGTGTCAGAGCGTCCAAGATGGCCCAAGACAGCTCCAAGAGCGAACAGGCGAGAAAACACAAAACATTGATTTTACCTAGGTTTTGGAAGGATTTTGGCATCTTGGGGGGGCCCAAGAGGCGACTCGAGGCACTCTGGAGGGGCGGGGCTAATAAGCAACCCCCCCTTCTTTGATAGATCTCCTCCAAGATGGCCCAAAGAGCGCCCCGAAGGCTCCCAAGAGCGCCCCAAGAGCGCCTCAAGAGGGCCCCAAGAGACCCCAAGAGGCCCCCAAGAAGCCTCCAAGACGTTGCCAAGAGACCCCCAAGAGGCCCCAAGAGAGTCCAAGATGACCCAAGACGGCTCCAAGAGCGAAAAGGCGAGAAAGCAACAAACATTGATTTTACCTAGGTTTTGGAAGGATTTTGGCCTCTTGGGGCGCCCAAGAGGCGACTCGAGGCACTCTAGAGGGGCAGCGCTAATTGGGGACCCCCCTTCTCTGATCGATCTCCTCCAAGATGGCCCCAAGAGCGCCCCGAAGGCTCCCAAGAGCGCCCCAAGAGCGCCCCGAGAGCGCCCCAAGAGGCCCCAAGAGGCGCCCAAGAGGCCTCCAAGAAGGCTCCCAAGAGACCCCCAAGAGGCCCAAGAGGCTCCCAAGACGGGTCCAAGAGCGAAAAGGCGAGAAAACAAAAAACATTGATTTTACCTAGGTTTTGGAAGGATTTTGGCCTCTTGGGGGGGCCCAAGAGGCGACTCGAGGCACTCTAGAGGAGCAGCGCTAATTGGGGACCCCCCCTTCTTTGATAGATCTCCTCCAAGATGGCCCCAAGAGCGCCTCGAAGGCTCCCAAGAGCGCCCCAAGAGCGCCCCAAGAGGGCCCCAAGAGGCCCCAAGAGGCCCCCAAGAGGCCTCCAAGAGGCCCCCAAGAGACCCCCAAGAGGCCACAAGAGGCTCCCCGAGATACGCAAGAGGCCCCCGGGACCGCCAAGAGGCCCCAAGGACGGCCCAAGAGGCCCCCAAGCTCGCAATTGTCCTCCTCCTCCTCCTCCTCCTCCTTTTCTTCCTCCTCCCTCCTCCCCCTCCCCCTCCTCCTCCTCCTCCTCCTCCTCCTCCTCCTTCTCCTTTTCCTCCTTCTCGTCCTCCTCGTCCTCGCAGTCCTCCATCTCCTCCTCCTTCTATTCCTCCTCCTCCTCCTCCTGCTCCTCCTCCTGCTCCTCCTCTTCCTCCTCCTACTCCGACGACGACGGCTCCTCCTACATCCTCCCCCTCTTGGGGTATATGGCGGCTCACCCCGCCCTTTGTTCTTCTGCATGCTCCCCCGCTTCCCTCATAACCTCCACTCCCCTGGGACTCATTTCTGGACGGGCTGGTGGGGATACGCGAAGCGTCTAGAATTGCTGAGTAAGAGAAGGAAGAGGAGGACGACACTGACGATAATGATGGCGATGATATTGATGATGATGATGATGATGATGATGTTGATGATGACGATGATGATGATGAGGATGATGATGCTGATACTGATGCTGATGTTGATGCTGATGCTGCTGATGATGAGGATGATGATGATGATGATGATGGTGTTGATGCCGATGCTGACAATGACGATGATGATGATGCTGAAGATGATGTTGATGAGGATGGTGATGATGATGACAATGATAATCATGATGATGCTGATGATGATGGTGATGATGCTGGTGATGATGATGAGGAGGAGGCGGAGGAGGAATAGGGCGAGAAGGAGGAGGAGGAGGAGGAGGAGCTCTTTCCGAGCTCTTTCGAACCGCCACGTCGTGGCTCGCCCGCGCGGGCGCGCAGTCGGCGCGCGCGCGGGTCAGCGCTGCCCCCAGCACCGCTCGGCCGACCTCGGCCCCTCCTCTCGGCGGCTCCGCAGCTTTGCCCTTCTGCTGCGGGGCGGGGAGGACCACTCCTTCTGCCATCAGATTCGTGTCGCGTGGCCCTGTGGTCCCGCCCTGCAGGCCGTTCTCCTCCGCCTCCGTCCAGCAGCCGCCGAAGTTCGCCCAGCGCCAGGAGCGGGCCGACGGCCGCCGCTCTGGTCGGCCTGGCCTCGGGAGGAGGAGGAGGAGGAGGAGGAGGAGGAGGAGGAGGAGGAGGAGGAGGAGGAGGAGTGGGAGAAGGAGGAGAGGGAGGAGGAGGAGGAGGAGGAGGAGGAGGAGGAGGAGGAGGACGAGGACGAGGGCCGCCGCCGTGCCAGCGCGGCGCCAAACCAGCCGCAGGATGCAAAGGTGCGGCCGCTCGGTGCCTCTAGCGCTGGCGGCGCGCCCGGCGGCGCCCCACCGGTCGTTCCACTCCTCCGCGCCGCGTCGGCGCCGCGGCGGCGGGCTGCGACGACGACGACGGCAACGCTGGATATCGGGCGACGACGATCGCAACGACTGGGCGGCGACGGCGCCCGCAGCGGCGACGACGACGCCGGCACCGGCGGCGACTACCTAGGGGGAGGGGGGCGAAGGAGGGGGGAGGAGGGACGCGAGGGAGGAGGGCGAAAGGGAGGCTCGGGGGGGGAGTGTGAAGGGAGTATGGGCGGGAGGAGGGGGGATGGGGGACAGAGGCAGAAGGGAAGCGGGAAAGGGTGAGGGAGATAAGAGGAGGACGGGAGGAGAGGCAAGAGGAGGAGGGAAGCGACCTGGAGGAGAGGGCGGAGGACGAGGAAGGGGGAGGGAAGGGGCAGCAAAGGTGGTGGACAGGAAGGGTGGGTGGGAGCGGAGGGGGAGCCGAGAGCGGAGCGAGAGGTGCGGAGGGCAATCACATGGGAGCAGAATGCGGGCGGATGGGGAGCACTGCCCCGAGAGGAGGCCCCGCGCGCAAACCCCCAGCAACGGCGGGGAGGACGAGGAGCGGGAGGCCGACGACGGGGGCACCCTTCGACAGTCGAAATGGGTACGGAACGCATTGGTACGATTGTGGATGCCACGACAATGGACACCCTAACAGTCCTACCATAGAATGTTTGAACATGTTTTAGGCATCTGGAAATTATTTGGCAACATGCTTCCTCTCTATTGATCGTCTTCCACAATGATACGATGCCCAATAGCAGCTCCTGTGCATTTGAACAGGGCTCGCTGTCCGCGCCGCCGCGGACGTTATCCATTTGAGACAGAAGGCCGCCTGCCCAACGGCGGCCGCTGTCGTTTTTGGGCACCATATGTTGTTGGGTATTGTACCCATTTTTACCGTAACCCTTTCGGGCGTCTGAAACCCTGGGCGCCCTCCTCCTGCGCAGCACGCAGAAGGTGGTGGAGCGAGGGAGAAGCCTTTCCAGAAAGCAAGGGGCTTCTTTTGGAAAAGATGGACGGCTTCCAAAGAAAGCGTCTAGAAAGGAAGAGGACCTCCCGCTAGCCCCACTCGCCCATACCCTCAAAACGGACCCCAGGACTCCCACAAGGGTCTCGATCCACGCCAGACGAAAACCTCGACCCTCGATCGTCGTCGTCGTCGTCGCCGACATCGTCGTCGTCCTCGCCGACGCCGTGGACATCGCCACCGCCGCCGTCATCGTAGTCGTCTAGAGATGGGATCGGAGGATCGCGCCGCATCGGTGATGCATCGGCGTCGTAGGCGATGCATCGCGCCGCATCGGTGATGCACCGTCGGCGTAGAGAAAATCGGGCTCCTCAACATCGAGCCGCATCGCCAATGCATCGGCGATGCGGCGCGATCGGGGGAACAAAAATGCGGGCACCGCTACCCCCCGAACCTCACCCAGGTTGTGTTCTGACCAGAATTTCAGGGCGAATCCAGCGGTGGCGACGACGCCCCCCCCCCCCCCAGGAGGCCCAACAAGGGGCAAGAACGAGGGAGGGGTAGCGGCACATCGGTACCATTTCCTCCTCCGACCATCTGCTCGGACCCCACCTGTGCGGCCCGGACCGTCGCCGCCGTCCTGCGCGCCGCCAGCCTTTTTCTCTCGGGGGGCTTCGCCAGGCGCTGCGCTCAACTCGGGAGGGGGACGCTGAGGGACAAACGACAGGGGGGGGGACGGGCTCAGGGGGGGACACGTCGACCTGGAATCGGCGATACGTCGCCGAGACGTCGGCGACAGGGCCCCGATCGTGAATCCGCACGTTCCCGGGCAGGTCTGGGCTAGCGGGCCCCCATCGGCGACCAATGCGCGATTGGGGGTCGATGCATCCCCGCCTATGCCTATACCCCCCCTCTATCGTTGCCCCCGAGACGCGCGCAGGGCGGGCGCGAGGGCGGAGGCGAGAGGCGCCGTCCGCGGAGGCGGAGCGCCCTGCTTGCCATCGGTCGGAAATGAGAAGGAGAAAGTCTCCTCAGCAGGCGACGGGACTTTTCAGAAGCCCTCGCGCCGTCCGAGACGTGTTTTGCTTGGTGTTCGGGGAAGGCTGACGAAAAACGTCTCAGAAGGCCAGGGGCTCCTGAACCTTCTGAGAAGGCCTTCTCCTTCTCCCCCCCCCCCTCGCTCGCCGCCGGCTGGGGGGGAAGGGGGAGGCGACTACCACTCGACGTCGTAGTTCCGCAGGACAGGGCCGAAGGCCATCATTGCGACCTCCCAGGCCATCACCCGCGCTCGGAGGCAACGTCTGCCGGGGTGCCCTTCAGCGGCCTCCCCCTCTCGGTGCTCCTCGCCCTCCTCCTGCTCCGTCCTCCGTCTCCCTCCCCCCCTTAGACCTTCGCGGAGGAAGCAGCCAGGGCCCGACCGCGGGCCGCTCTCGACAGTGGGCCCGTCGAAGATCAGTCTGGGATGGGGAACCGGCCAGGGTGAGCCCCTGCAGTGTTCCAAGGACCGATGTCGATTGGATTCCGATGGGAAGGAGGAGGAGGAGGAGGAGGAGGAGGAGGAGGAGGAGGGGGAGGAGGGGAGGTGGAGGGGAGGAGTAGGACGACGACGACGACGACGACGACGACGACGACGACGACCCACGAGAGGGAGGGGCGGGTTGCTCTCGATAGGGGAGGCCCCCCCCCAGGGAGTCCTCGTCGCCACGGCTGGCTTCTGGTCCAGGGATCGATCCGAGGCCCCCTGGAGAAGAGCCCGAGAGCTCAAGGGGGGGGGCCAACGACTGGAGCAGAAAACGCCTGATCTCCAGTTCTACCCGTCGTAGAGCCTAAAATGTAGCGTGCCCGAGTAAGCATGGCCCGCAAATGTCGACACCCACGCCTGGAGCAGGTTGCTGAACACGGGACTGGAGGCTCTGCTTGGGGTGCGGATGTCCTACAAAAATCTCACATGCATGCGAGTTTGTAGAACATATGTTGTTGTTTTTTTGTTGGGGGGGGCTTCTCCCCACCCCCGCGCTCTCCACCAGCTTCAAGTGCAGGGCAGGGGAGGGGGGGCGGACCGGGGAGGCGGTGAAAGGTAGAGGGAGAGGAACGAGGGAGCAGGGGGGAGGGTTGATGGACGAGGGAGGAGGGGGGGAACGGGATGAACGAAGGGGGACGACGTGGAAGATGAGGATCGAGCAGGAGAGGGCGACTGGGGAGAGGGAGGAGGATCCCGAGAAGGACGGAGGGTGGCGTGGGGATGATGAGGATGTCAGCGAGGACGGTGAGGATCACGCGCTCCAGAGGAGAAGAACAAGGGAGAACACATGACGATGAAGGATGATGAGTCGGAGGATGAACAGGGGCAGGCAGGGCGAGGATGAGAAGAGCGAGGACGGAAGGAGTGATGTCAGTGGGCAAGGTGGAACGGGGTGAAGATCTGCTCCTAATCCTGCTGCTGCCCTCATGCCATGGGACGATGCTCCGTAGTGTCCGTCCTCCTCCTCCGTCTCCCACTCCTCAACTACCAGCCCATCTCGCGTCCCATCATAATCATCAGGACCGCCAACAACAGCAGCACAAGCGTCACCTCAACATCACCGTGGCTAGCATCATCACCGTCACCACCATCGTCCTCATCCTCCTCATCTTCATCAGCAAACGCTTCAGCATGAGCATGAGCATGAACATCAGCATCATACTCAGCATCACCAACACCGGATCATCATCACCATCATCATCGCCAACAACATCACCCTCACCCTCACCCTCACCAGCACCATCACCGTCATCCTCATCATCATCTTCATCAGCATCATCACCATCATCATCAGCATCATCGTCAAACTCATCGATATCACTATCATCATCATCATCCTCATCATCATCATCAGTATCATCAGCAACAGCATAATCATAATCAGCATCACCAGCATCACCATCACCGTCAACATCACCATCACCATCGTCGTCAACATCATCACCACCATCATCGTCATCAACATCGCTACCCTCATCATAACCAACACCACCGCACCACCACCATCACCACCATCATCATCATCAGCATCATCATGACCATCAACACTGTCATCGTCATCATAGTCAGCATCATCATCAGCGTCAGCATTGTCGACATCATCATCACCACCACCACCAGCATCATCTTCACCACCACCACCATCATCATCAGCAGCATCATCATCACAAACCCTTCATCCTCAGCATTAGCATAATCATCGTGCTCGTCAACATCATCACCATCACCATCATCACCCTCATAATAACCGTCACCTCCCCAATCATCATCATCCGTGTCATCATCATCATCATCATCATCATCATCGTCGTCAGCATCGTCATCATCATCGTCATCATCCTCATCGTCGTCATCATCATCATCACCATCATCGTCAGCAACTTTCTCCACTCATCTGCATCGTCGTCAGCATCGTCGTCAGCATCACCATCATCATCAGCATCGTCGTCAGCAACTTTATCTCCTCATCAGCATCATCATCATCATCGTCGTCAGCATCGTCATCATCGTCATCATTTTCATCGTCGTCATCATCATCGTCATCATCATCGTCATCATCCTCGTCGTCATCATCAGCATCATCATCGTCGTCAGCATCATCATCATCGTCATCATCCTCATCGTCACCATCAACATCAACATCACCATCACCATCACTGTCATCATCAGCACCATCATCGCCACTAGCATCATCCTCGTCGTCATCGTCATCATCAGCATCATCGGCACCATCAACATCACCATCACCATCACCAACACCACCACCATCACCAACATCGTCATCATCAGCATCATCACCAGCTGTCCATGATCATGATCATCATCATCATGATCCTCCTCCTCCTCCACCTCCTCATCATCACCATCACCAACATCAACATCGTCATCATCATCATCATCATCATCACCATCATCATCATCATTATCATCATCATCATCATCATCATCATCATCATCGTTACCGTCATCATCAGCATCATCATCATCATCATCATCATCATAATCATCATCATCATCATCATCATCATCATCATCATCATCATCACCAACACCATCACCATCATCATCCGCATAATAACCATCACAATCACCATCAGCATCGTCATCATCATTATCATCAGCATCATCATCGTAAATATCGTCAACATCATCGTCATCAACATCATCGTCATCATCAGCACCGTTCTACATAACAACAAACATCACCTTCATCATCATCATAATCATCATCATCATCGTCATCAGCAGCACCTTCAGCATCAGCAATGACAATATCATCATCATCATCATCATCAGCATCAGCATCATCATCATCATCATCATCATCATCATCATGACCAGCATCATCATCATCATCATCATCATCATCATCATCATCATCATCATCGTACTCATCATCATCTCCATCGTCAGTGTCATCACCATCACCATTCATCATCCGTCGTGGGGAATTCGTGCGGCCATCTCTGGAATGTCTTATGGCATGGCCCGTACGTTTTGGGATCCTCTTGGGGCGATCTTGTGACCTCGTGGAGTCATCGCGGGCTCGCTAGGTCCCCTCACTCACCCTATCCTCCTTCACCCCCTTCACCGTCCTTCTCCTCCTACCCTTCGTCGTCGTCGTCGTGATCGTCCCCCTTTCCCTCCTCCGCGTCCCCCCGCTCACTCCCCTTGCGCGTCCTCGTCGCCACCACCGTCGCCCTCCTCCTCCGCATCCTCATCATCGCGTTCCGCCCTCCCATCTCCTCTGCATCCTCGTCGTCATCGTGGTCGTCGTCGTCCTCCTCCTCCTCCTCCTCCGCCTCCTCCTCGTCCCCGCCCTCCTCCTACACCTCCCCCGCTCCCACCTCCTCCTCCTCCGCCTCCTCCGCCTCTGCCTCCCCGTCGGCGCCCTCCTCCTCCGCCCTGTCGACGTCGTCGCCGCCGCCCTGGGCCGCCCCGCGCTGCTCCCCCCCTCGACGATTCCGGCGCCCAGCACAACGAGCATGAAGGTGCCCACCTGCAGCCAGGGCCCGGTGCGAGTGGCCACTCCAGAGAGATGGACGTCCGACTCACTCCAGGAAGGAAGAAGACAGCTGCCGCGAAGTCCGTGCCTCGCCGACTCCTGGTCATCACTAGAAGAAGAAAAAGAAGAAGAAGAAGAAAAAGAAAAACGGCATGACTAAACATACTTTTGGCGCTCCGTGCGGATTTTTGGGATCCGCGCCGGTTCCCCTCCCGGCGCGCGGAGCGCGCCAGGGGCGGCGCCGGAGGCGCCGCAAGGGGTTTCCAGCGCGGATCAAAGAAATCCGCGCGGAGCGCCAAAAATTTATGTTTCTGGCGTTTTGTCTTGTCCGAATAACGCATAGGTCTGGGGAGGGGAGAGGTCTGAAGAGTAGATGCCTCGTCCTCTGTATCCTGCCCCACTGCTCGGTGCAACGTCGGCTGGGTCGGCAGGAAGGGTCGCCAGGCTCGGCAGCCCCCCTTCCGCTGGTTGGCGGCAACCAGGGGGCTCCAGCGCCGATACGAGGAGTCCGCGCGGAGCTGAGACAGTTTTCGGTGGCAACTCATCGGAGCCTCCCATACCATCTTGTCCGCTCTTGCGAATCGACGCTGAATCGACGCTGATCGACGCTATCTCATAGACTACCAGACGCGAATCGACGCTAACCCACGCTGAAGAGGGAATTATGGGAGTACACAAGGCTCCCATGACTTGCCAACCAAACAGTTTACCTATCGGTCGGAAGAAGTAGGTAGAAACATTCAGAAAGAAGGCGTTGACAATAGACTGGGCCCCGTCCGCCCCCGGAGGAGGACGGAAAAGGCAAAGCCACTCGATCACTGAGGTAGGAAAGCGCTCAAAGTGGATTGGAACCTGGGAATCCAATAATAGCTACAAAGAGCGGCTTGAATAAGGAACGCGTGCTTTGCAAAAGGGGCTCGGTCGATCCTCAGGCTTGCATGCGTTATGCATTGTTCCTTATACGTGGTGTACTGGTTATCGTTCCTGATGCGTTATTCCTTGAAAAAAAAGGGGGCTTCGTTCCTCATGTTTAGGCGGGGCGAACAGGGCCATCCAGAAGGTGGGCCGTCGAAAGGGTGCATGGAACGGCTTTCGGGGAGGCGTTCCAAGATTTTTGGAACGCCTTTCCGCCCAGCGTTCGGAGCAGTTCGGTCGCCTCGGCCCACGGCCCGCTACCGCGTCGACATGGAGACACCTCGATGCGGGATCAGGCCGCACGAGTGAAGCCAAATTGTCTGCGAGGGGCAGCCTTGGAATTGCTGTTCTGCCACCCTCTCTCCTTATCGTCCTACGTGTGCCCGTCGACCGCCGCGCCCTTTCCATGGCGCCAAATTGGCCACTTCGCCTGGTCTGCCCCGTGCACGCTCCCGTGCTGGCCCTCCCCCTGCCTCCGCCCGCCGCGCAGCCCCTTGCCCCCTCCGCCGCCACCTCCCCTTTTCTCCCTTCACTCTCGCATTATTGTTGTGGCGCGAAACAGAAGTGGAAAGGAAGCGGGTGTCCGCCAGACAGCGCAGACCAACCCGAGGGATCGTATTCACACGCGGATGGCATCAAAAAGTCCGCTACGGCGCTGAGACTGTCAGGCCGATGACTGTACCTTCAACGACCGATGGGTCTGTCTGTGTCACTGTTTGCTTCTCGAAGCCGGCTGCACTCGGCACGGCGACACGCTGCCGTCGACCCGGGCGCCCGTCGCTTGAGCAGGGACCGACCATCCCGGCATTCCTATTCATAGTCCTACCACGAAGTGTTCTGAGAACCCCAACAATGTTCTAAGAACCACAACAATGTTCTGAGAACATAAGCCCGATGTAATAAAATAAGACGGTCCCAACTGCAAATGTTCTGAGACCATTTCGTGGAAACCACAAAAGTCGGGCGTTGGCAGACCTGGGTTTAGTGGAACCTGGTTTACTGATGTGCTCCGGGGGGCGCGGGCAGCAAGCTGGGCGCGGCATACGGGGGAAACCAATGTGAGCGTTCTCTTATTCGGCGCTTCGACACTGGGCGGCAAGGGGGGGGGAGGGGGGTGTCTGGCTCCAGACCTCTGCTTACTGCGACTGTGTGCAGCAGGGCGGCCGATGAGGGGGGCCTCACCTGCTCGAAGCAGGCGCCCAAAACAGCCAAGATCTACTCCATGGGGGGGGGGGGCGGAAGGGGGGGTTGGGGAGCCCGCAGATCGGCAGAACAATGAATAAAAACGCAGGGCTGGACCTAACGCTGTTTTTCGCTTTGTTTTCGTTTTGTTGATCACTTTGCTCTACCCATTGTCCTGTACCTCCCTGCCGAGACGAAAAAAACAAACAGCCGAAGCCCGGCAAAACAGCGTTTAGGTCCAGCACTGCAAATCCCAATGGCCCGATACCGCTGCTCCGCGGACCTATCCTGGGGTGCGTTCTGGTCGGGATTTGCAAGTTTCCCCTTGCAAGATGATCAGCAATGGAGGCCCGACCGTACGAAACCTTCCACACGAAACCCTAACCCTGACACCCCAGGACGTCCATCGATGTTTGGCGTGGGAACGTCATGCTCTCCACCGCAAAACTGCCGAAACCCAAGAAATCCAGGGCACCCTGGAGGCAAGCAGGGCGTCTCTTGGCATGGACCTCCACTGCACGATGCTCCTCGATGGCCCCCGCCGAGGAACAAAAATGCACACGCCCGAGCGCTGCCGGGCCACGCCCGGGCGCTGCAGGGGCCCAGGCAGGCGCCGAAGCGGGGCGAGGAGACCAGGAAGGAGACAGGAGGGAATCGGAGGAGAGGAGAGGGGAGGGGAGAGGAAGGCGGAGGAGGGAAGGAGAGGAGGGGAGGGGACGGAGGAGGGAAGGAGAGGAGGGGGGAGGGGAGGGGGGCGGAGGATTCGGATGCGGAACGCTCGCGAAGCAAGTGAGGAGGGGGGCGGAGGAAGAGTGGGCGACGAGGAGGGAGGAGGGGCGACGAAGGGGGGAGGCGGGGCGAGGAGGGGTGGAGGGAGTTGAAGACGAGAAGGGAACAAGGGAGAACGGAGAAGCCCCACCGGCGTGCGTGCGTGCCCGTGCGTGCGTGCGTGCGCGTGTGCGTGTGCGTGAGCGTGTGCGTGTTCGTGTGCGTGTGCGTGTGCCTGTGTGCCTGCGAGCGTGCGCGTGAGTGTGTGCATTGTGTGTGCGTACGTGCGTGCGTGTATGTTTGCGTGTTTATGTGTGTGAATGTGTGTGCGTGCGCGTGTGTGTGCGCGTGTGCGTGCGTGTGTGTGCGTGCTGTGCTCGGCGTTCACAACAGAGCGCCGCCGCGCGCACGAGTGGCCGCAGTGCCAAACAGTGCGTGTGTGTGTGTGTGCGTGTGTGTGTGTGCATGTGTCTGTGTGCGTGTATGTGTGTGTGTGCGTGTGCGTGTGCGTGTGTGTGTGTTTGTGTGTGTGTGCGCGTGCGCGTGCGCGTGCGCGTGCGCGTGCGCGTGCGTGTGCGTGTGTGTGTGTGCGTGTGCGTGTAAGTGTAAGTGTAAGTGTGTGTGTGTGTGTGTGTTTGTGTGTGTGTGTGTGTGTGTTTGTATGTGTGCGTGTGTGCGTGTGCGTGCGCGCGTGTGCGTGTGCGTGTGCGTGTGCGTTTGCGTGTGCGTGTGCGTGTGTGCGTGTGCGGGTGTGCGGGTGTGCGGGTGTGCGTGTGCGTGTGCGCGTGTGCGTGTGCGTGTGCGTTTGCGCGCGTGTGTGTGTGTATGTGTGTGTGTGTGTGTCTGTCGTGCCCCCCGTGGGCACGCGCTGGGAGGGCCCCACTCGCGGACCTCTAATGCGGCTGCTGGCGCTGCACATCCTCCTCCTCCCCCTACTACTGCTCGCGGACCTCTATACTCAAGTTTCTTTTGTATACCACACCCTCCCCGCCCCAGTCAGATTCCACCGCCCCGGGCCACTGTCAGTATACAGAAACCATGCCTCAGGGAGGGCACTTTGTATACCAGGCCCACGACCAGGACCCTCGCTCGCCCCCCCGGGGCTCTTGGGTATAGTATACGAATGTTTCGGGCGGACTCTACTGTTGTGGATGCCACAATGCCACGACAACGGACACCCTGACAGTCCTACCATTGAATTAAAGATGTGTTTAACATTTGTAGAACATGGTCTAACAATGTGTGAAGCATGCTTTGGACTTGTTTACAACATGTTTAACACATGTCTTAGACATCTGGACATTATCTGGCAGCACGCTTCCTCTTCATGGATCGTCCTCCACACGACTCTACTGTTGCTGCGGCTGGCCCCTCCTTCAGCCTGCGCCCCCTGGGCGGCGATGCGTGCGGGGGCGACACGAGATGGGGGGCAGCGAAGTTCCTCATTCTCCTCCTCCTCCTGCCCCACCGCCGCCTCCTCCTCCTCCTCCTCCCCCTTCAGAGGCCCTCTAGGGCCCCCAATGGGGGGCCCTCAGGCCCCTAAAGGGCACCATCCTTCCCATCCCATGCAGTCGGACTTGATTGGAGAGGACACGCGAGAGGACACAAGACCCTACCGAGGGCCGCGTTGCCACAGAAATGCAGGAGGTATGGGTCGCAAGACACAGTCGACCCAATAATCCAGGCCGCCTGTATGGCGCCCCCTCCCTCCCGTTAAGCGCCGCCCAAGCCCCGACCAGAACATCTCCCTCTGGCTCCGCTCACACCGTCGATCTCAACGGCCCGATCGAAACCAGTCGCCGTGCTTGAACGATCAGTGGAACCACATCAATCCTATCCGAAGCACTTCCCCGCGCCTCCAACGACCACGTGCCGCACCGTGGTGGCACGGGTTCTGTCCTGCATGTGGGAACCAGCGAATGGAGACTGGGTGTCTGCTAGCCAACACGAGCGGACGACGGCGGCCACAGAAGAACGAGGCCCGTTGGACCAAGAAGCAAACGACGCCACACCACATACGGCCCCGCGAGGCTCAGCGCATGGCAAGAATTCAGGCGTGCCTTTTTGTCCGTGGTGTACGTAAGCTACGGCCCCCGATGGGCCCGTGGCGCAAGATGGAGGGCCGTAGGTTCGTGGATGCCACGACAATGGACACCCTAACAACCCTATCATTGAATTCAAAATGTGTTTAACATGTGGGAAGCATGTTCTAAACATGTTTCAAATATGCGTTTTACGTGTTTAAAGCATGCTTGGCACATGTTTTAGACATCTGGGAAGTATTCGGCAACATGCTTCCTCTCCATTGATCGTCCTCCACAACCGTAGGTGGGGTGGTGCCGTTTGCTTTTTGGTCGAACTGTCTCCAGCGAGCGAAGCCGAGAGCCTGAGACCCACGGGGGGCGACGTGGCTGCGGTACAGCTGCGAGACGACCGCGGCGCAGGAGTCCTCGCCGCGCTGCAACAGAGAGGCGACGACTGAGTTCGGCGGGCTCTTCTCAGATTTAAGTCGGGCGTGTTCCCCCACGGGGGGATTTTGGACGAAAAAAGAAAAATACCCAAAAACAACTCTCCCAAATGGTAAGAACATACTTAGATGTGGAGTGCCATCGTCTTGCTGGAGGACTGCAGGGTTGCAAGAACATGCAATGCAGTAGGGGCCGATGCCAAGAAACACGTCGCTCGTCTCCAGGGTGCCCTGGGTTTCTCGGGTTTCGATGGTTTTGCCATGGGCGGCGTGACGCCCCACACCAAAAGCCAATTGGCGTCCTGGGTCTCTGGGTCGGGTTTCTGTAGAAGAAGAGAAAACCACATAAACATAAACTTTTGGCGCTCCGCGCGAATTTCTTGGATTCGCGCTGGACCCCCCTCCCTGGCGCGCGGAGCGCGCCAGGGGCGGCGCCGGAGACGCCGCCAGGGGGCACAGGCGCGGCTCCGAGAAATCCGCGCGGAGAACCAAAAGTTGATGTTTCTGTGTTTTTTCCATCTTCGACTGTTGTGGAAGGTTTCTTGTGGTCGGGGCCCCACTGTAACATGTCTAAAATTAAGGTGCGGGTTGCTGGCCTGGGTGCCGCGGCCTCGCTCACGTCGACGTCAAGAATCCAACGAAAAACACGTCCGATGATGCACGGCGGACGAGTCGAACAGAGCACCGCTGAAGGGGCAAACTTACTGGTCTGACGGCCGATGTATGACATACCCTGGGACCTAGGGAAATCCATAGAGCGCGCCCCTCAGAACACAATGCGGACGCTCTCCCGAACCCGTCCGTTTGTGTGATGCCTCAGGCCAGGCCTATCCGTGAGAGTCCCTGGTGGCACGAAGCGATGCTACCACTGCCCCGCAACGCCCGGTGGCCATCCTCGGACGAGGGGAAAGGACACCCTCCCTCCTCCCTCCTCCCGCCCCATTCCTCCCTTCTCCCACCCATCCCACCTCCTCCCCCCTCCTCCCTCCTCGCTGCAATGCAATGTGCTACTCCCTCCTCCGTCCTCCCCCTCGCCTCCTCCTCCTCCTCCTCCTCCTCCTCCTCCTCCTCCTCCCCCTCCTCCTCCTCCTCCTCCTCCTCTTCCTCCTCCTCCTCCTTTTCCTCCTCCCCCCGCCACAGCTTACGGCAATGCAAGGCAACGCAACGCAACGCAGTGCGCTCGCCCCACCTGGCCGCGCATGAGGCGCAAGGCCCGCAAGCGCGGTCCTTGTGAATGCCCGTGGACCACAGCTGCACACCTGATCATGTGGGACGGTCGGGCGGAGATGGGGGACAACAGTGGGGGGATACCAACTCAGGGCGAGGAAACATCAACTTGGAATCGACGATGCATCGGTAACGGATCAGCGACAACCCCCCGAGAGCGAATCCGCACTTTCTGGGGCGGGCTGGGCCATCAGGCCCCTGTCGGTAATGCATGGGCTCTGGCGCAGCCGCTGGAACGCACCTCGAGGTTGGAACACCGCAGAGAAACTACGAAAATGCTAGACACCTCCCTTAGTATCTGCTTATCTGCTACCCCTGAAACAGCTGGTTTTCATGCCCCTCAATGTTGCGCTGTCGCAAATGACCCCTCCTGACGTTGCACCTTCGGGGATCTACTCACCCGTGCTCATCGAATCCTGGGTCAGTCGGGCTCTGCAGGATCCTGCAGGATCCTGCAAAATCCTGCGCGCAGAATCCTGCGCGCTAGCCCGGGTCGATGCAACCTGGCTCTGAAGGATCCTGCAAGATGTGGCGCTCTGGCTGACCCCCGTTTGAATCAGGAGAACCCAGAGTCGAATCGATTAGTCGGATCGGCGATCGAAATGAATCGGATCGGCAGAGATCGGCAGCCGAGTCGGGAAAAGTCGAATCGGCGGAAATCAGCAGGCTGGTATGCCTCCGTTGAGAAACAAGAGCCCGAATCGGAATCCGAAGTCGAGCCGAATCGGAATCGGCAGCCATCAAGAGCGAATCGGAGATCGAGTCGGAGGAATCGAAAGGAACCCTGGCCTGAGTTGACCTCGGTCTCGAGGCTCCCAGCTCTACAGGCCCCCCTGTCCGGCGCGAGAAGCCAGTCCTGGGGGAGGCGAGACCGCAGATCTCCGATGCCGTGATTGAATCCTGCCGGGCCCCCCAAACCTACAGGGCATTTTTAAATACATTGGATTGTTTGAATAGACTTGTTAATACATGATCAATATATGAATAGATTTATGCATGAACTCATCGTTGTTCTTGACACTATATCCCTGCATGTTTCATACATGGTCCGCACGCGGAGCATGTATAAAAAAACCGGCACTGTAACCCGAAACCCCACATTTCGGGTTGGGGGGGGGTACGGGTTCGACATTTCGGGTTGGGGGGGGGTACGGGTTCGAACTGTTTTTTTTACGCTTCCCGACGCCCCCCCTCACTAGGAATGGAAGACAAGTTTGTGCCTTCGAGTTGGGCCGGTGCGGTTTGGTGGGTGAGTGATTGCTGCTTCAGGTCGACAGGGAGAGAGAGAGAGAGAGAGAGAGAGATACAGAAAGAGAGAGAGAGAGAGGTCAAGGAAAAAACAAGAGAGACGGAGAGAGAGAGAGAGAGAGAGAAAGAGAGGGAGAGAGAGAGAGAGAAGCCGTGCACGTGAGAGGTGCATTGGCACAAGGGGCGGAACGACAACATATACTACTGAGCAGCTCGCACTGCGCCATGGCGATGTGCACCAGGCGGGTGAGATCTCCCGTGAAGCGTGGCATGGCAATGACGGCGCGACCAGCAATGCGACCCCCTGGCGTCGCCAGCTCTATTGACAGAAACAATATTAAAACATATTGTCACTCATACCACGCTCGCCAAGATGCCCACAAGGTGTAGGGCCAGGGAAGGCAACGCAAGCGGAGGGCAGAGAAACACGCGATCCCTTCCTGTGGCTCTTCGTCCACGGTCGTTGATTGACTGACCCAGTCTTAAAGAATTCAGCAGCATGGGTCATTTACACACGTGGTGGCTGGCCGAAATCCACAGATCACTGTGCGTACTCTGATCAGATCGTGTTCCATATTGTATCAGATAATCAATTCCTGTTACGCGTGGCGGCTGTTGACCATTCAGGCGAACTACGTTCGGCCACAATGTCGCATCGTCCAACCACCACTTCCTCAGTGCCTGCAGCGAGTGGACAGGGCGACGTATGCAAATTTTTGTTGTTTTTAGCACTCGCCAGAAGCAGCAAGTCAATCCATGTCAGCCTATCTGCGCCCAGCCCAGTTTGGCCTAGTTCAGCTCATTCCAGTTCACCCCAGCCCAGTCCAGCTGAATTCAGCACAGTCTAAATTAGATTGGCCGAGTCCAGATCAGCACCAGCGAGTCCGCCGTCACACAGCTCAGACCACCGCAGCCCAGCGAAGTAAACCTCAGCACAGCTCAGCCCATCTCAGTCCAGGTCGGTGAAGCTCAACCAACCTCAGCCCTGCTCGACCCATCTCAGCCCACATCAGTGCAACTCAACTCTATCTCATTCACCAGCGCGTCTGGGGTGGACCGGTCGGAGCGGCCGCCGCACTCATCTGGCCCTGCAGAGCTCCCAGACGGCCGTCAGATGGGCCAATATGAGCGCAGGACTGCTCCAGGTGGTCTCAAAATGGCCCACGTCTCCTCACGGACGGCTCCAGAATGCCTCAAGACGGCCAAAGTAAAAAACAGTCCCCCAAACGCCCCGAGAGGGCCCTAAGGGGACCACAAGAGGCAATCGCCGTCCTTCGGGAAACTAGTATGTTTAGCGCCTCGTTATTTAGGTCCACGCAGCGCACCAAGACGACCCCGAGGCCGCCAAAGAGGGCCCCCGAAAGCAGCCCACGAGGCCCCTCGGACGGCCCAAGAAGTCCCTAAGACGGCCCCGAGAGGGGCCCCAAGAGGGGGGGAGGGCGAAGGTGCCCTGAGGCCAAGATAGCTCCAGAGACCACCCAAAAGCCCACAAGAAGCCTCAAGGACCCCCGAAGAGGCATCTCACAAGGGCCCCCGAAGAGGCATCTTAGAGGCCCTCAAAATGCTCACATGAGACCCCAAGAGGCACCCCAAGCGGCACTATATAGGGCCCCACGGTTGTGTCCAAGACGGAGAGAGCGAAGGGACATCGAATTAGCTTTCGGAGCCGTACCTACCCGCTCCGTCGTTTGTCGCTGGCCCCACAGCTTGGCCCCAAGGGGTCGGCGGTACTGCGTAAGCCCGTGAAAAACAAATTCTCAACTCGGCCCAGCTCAACTGCACTCCAACCTCGCGCGGGCAGGCATGATGCCGCACGTGACCACGCCGCTGTAACAACGGCATGCACACATACACGATACCTCACGAAGCTCTCCGATCCCTTGGAATGTGCAGCCCGAGGACGGACTTGCGCAACAAGCGGCCTCCAAAAGACAGGACCGTAGGCGGGTTTCAAACACGCCGGGGTCGGCTGGCCGCCCGGCCGCCCTGAGGGGCCCAGGATCAACGGCACACTTTTTATCCAGCAGAGCCCTGGAGGGGGCCATGTGCGGACACTACCCCTACCCCCCACGATCTCTGAGGGGGAGGGTGGGGTTCACTCCACCCGGGAGCTCCCGAGCGAAGTGAACCCCACCCTCCCCCTCAGAAATCGCGGCGGGTAGGGGCAGGGCCCGCATGTGGCCCCCTACTCTGGCAGGGAAGGGGGAGAGAGGGGGAGAACACGGGAGAAGGGGAGCAGGGCACAAGGATCACCAACACGGCATAGCGTGCACGTAATCAGTCAGCGTGCGCATCAGCAAGGGCTCCCAACTTCGCGCTTCGCGCAGCGCGAAGCGCGAAGTGCAAAGACCTTCGCGCTCTCGCGCCGCCTCCCAGGGGAGAAGAGGAGGATGAGGAGGACTCGGAGCCGAACCGCGAAGCGCGAAGCGCGAACAACATCGCGCCCTCGAGGGCGCCCTTGATCAGTCATCGGGTGCACCACAAACGACGGGACACACCCTGCCCAGGCCAGGACAGAGGAAGCACAACTGCACAACCGCACACCTTCGCAGGCCCGCGCGGATCTCTTGGACCTGCGCTGCACCTCCCCTGCCTGGCTGGCGCGCGGAGGGCGCCGGGGGCGGCGCCGGAAGCACCGCCAGAGGGGCCCAGCACCGAGCCAGGAAACCCGCGCGGAGCTCCAAGAGTTTGGGCTTGTGCCGTCTTGTGCTCTTCGAACCAACGGGGCACGCCCTGCCCTGGCCAGGGTGCGACTGAAGCTCGCTACACGCCGTCGAGAGGCGCTGAGGAGGACTTGGGCCCCGTCCCTCCGAGGCGGATGCCCTGCCTGGGTAGCACCAGCCGGAGCAGGAGTGGCTGGTCTCTAAGTACTTCAGGTAGTTCCACTCTTTCTGGTGGGGCGGCACCGCATAGTCGGGCATTCACCGTCGTCGTCCTCTTCCTGCTCCTTCCTGATCCTTCTTCCTCCTCCTCCTTCTCCTCCTCCTCCTCATCATCCCCTCCTCCTCCTCCTCCTCGTCCTACTCCTCCATTCTCTCTCCTTCCTGCTTACTTCGACCCCATCACCCTTCCTCATCCTCCTGCTTCCTCTCGTCCATATCCTCCTCATCATCCTCCTACTTCCCATTCTTCCATTTATTCTTCATCTCCTCCTTCATCTCCTCGTCCTCCTCCTTCTCCTCCTACTCATTCCCCCCCTATTATCCGCTACTTCCGATATTGCTCCTCCTCCTTTGCTCGCTAGCCTCATCTCGTCCTTTCATAGGCCCTACGGGTGCGCATCGAATGGGAAATCAACTCCCGCATTCAATACAAGCATTGCCACGCGGAACCTTGAACAAACACCAAAACTAAGCTCACAGTTTGCCAAAGGAGCGCCGAGGTGCTCGGGGAACCTCAGGACGAATTCGATGCATGAAGGATTGCCAATGGATCCCGAACAGCTCCTGAATCCACAGATGTCCATGCTCGAACGTCTTGACTATGCCCCTTGCCTCCATCTCCTCCTCCTCCTCCTCCTCCTCCTCCTCCGCCTCCTCTTCCTCCATTTCCCCGATGTGAGAAGGTTGTCTGTGGGAGTGCGCCAAGATAGGCGGGAGGACGGAGGAGAAAGCAGGGAGAAGGGAGGAGGGAGAGAGGATGAAGGAGGAGGGATGAGCAAGCATTAGCGGGGAGAAGGGAGGAGGGTGCAGGAAGGCGGAGAGGTCAGGGAGGAGGGGGGGAGGAAGGGAGCAACCTGCGGGGAGGAGGGAGGTCCTCCCAGCAGGACATTGCGAGATCAAAGTATGCCAAAGGAGGTTCCGAATGAGTCGACGTCACACAAGACGAATGAATCGACGCCACGCAAGAAACCTTCTCCTTTCTGCTCCACCCTTATTCTCCTCCTGTTACTTCTACTCCTCTTTCTCCTCGGCGGTCTCCAGGAAGGTCCCTCCTCATGTCATGCCTCTGGAGTCCTCGAAAGGAGCCCAAGTATCTCCGAGACATGCCTCGGAACTCTTCTCCAACATGATATCTGAGCAGGGACCGACCGTCCCTGCAGTCCTACTGACCAACCACGACATGTTCGTAGAACCCAAACATGTTCTAAGAGCATTAACAAGTTTTAAGAAACAAAAAGTGAGATACACTAAAACAAGACAGTATCAACCATACATCTTCTAGGAACATGTCGCGCAAACCAGAATCGGTTATTTGAAAATTCTTTGCTGGGCCTATAGGCAAACCCGGGCGCTTCGCCGCTGCGTGAGATATGTCGGAAGGGGGAGGCGGAAGGAGAAAAGAGAGATTACGAAGCAACATATGAGCGATGACAAGACGCGCGTCTTGCGCGATATGGCATGGCGACCTTACGCTGCGGCTGTCGCGGGCCGCCGGCGCGGCATGCTACATTGGAGACGAAGGCGCTTACGCGAGAGCTTACGCGGGCAGCTTACGCGCCAACGCTGGCGCAGAAAAGCAAGTTTTCTACGTCGCTCAGATGACATCGCATGAGAGATGAGAACACTCTGGGTCGGGTTCTGGATGCGAGGTCGGGTGCGCGTGGAGGACGATCGGTAACGGCAACAGCAGCACTGTGAGGTCATTGCTCAGTGGGTAACCGCCTCCGATGCCTCCTGAAGGCTTGTGGGCCGCGCCTGACGACACACGCGTGAAAGACGGCGTCGGCATCCTTGCGCCTGGCTTTGGCTTCGCGTCGACTGGCGATGTTGTCTGGATCGCCGTCGCCCTTGTGAGCGCTTTCTCTTTCAGCGTTTCGACACTGGGCGGAAGGGGGAGGGGGAGAGCGGGGGAGGCCCGGCCCCGGACCTCTGCTTGATGCGCCCGTGTTGCAGCAGCGCGTCCCGTGGGGGGGGAAGCCCCGCCGGCCCGAAGCAGGCGCCAGAAAACAGCCCACCTCTACTTCGGCGGTGAAAACGGCCTGGGCCGAAAACGACGGACCCGGACCCGCAGAAATGACGGCCGCGACGCCCTCTCGCGGCCCGGAAACGGCCAATTCCTCAACCGACGTGTCAGGGTAGGAGGTCGATCCACCCCCGACTACTCTCCATGGGGGGGGGGCGGGGAGAGGGCCCGCGCCCATCGGCAAAACAACGAGCAAGAGAGAACGACGACCTTCTTGTCTCGCGCGCTGCATGTCCGGCTCTGCCCTCGTGCTCCTGTACCTCGCCCTAAGTCGGGCGTGTCCTCCTACAGGCGGATTTTGGAGGAAAGATTAAAAAGGCCAAGGAACAATACAAACATAGCCTCCACAAAACGTTTGTTTAAAACCGTCCCGTGATTATGTTTAGAATATTTTCGAGTACTCCTCCTGTAGAAGGACAGGCACGACTCAAACCTCGCCTTGCTCTCCCGCCCGCCAGCGAAGACTTCCGTGGCCCGAGCGTGGTTCCCTCGCTCACCCAGCGCCCCTCGCGCCGCCCCGCGCCTCTTCGCGCCCCAACCGCCCGTCGTGCGCTCTGCTGCGCCCCGGCGCGCTCTCCGCCGCTGCTCGACCGCTGCCTGCTGCTCGTGCGGCCGTCGACGAACATCGGCGGGGAGCGAGGGGGGCAGCGAGAGAAGGAGGAGGAGGAGGAGGAGGAGGAGACTCTGGAGACACTGGAGACTCTGCTTGATCGCGTAGCGATATGATTCTACCACGAGGTCTCTGAGCTTCTCCAGGTCAGCAAGGCACGAGAAGCCTATGAAGTCGCCATGGAAGGTGGACACCACGCCCCAAAACTGGTAGACAGGACCGAGAAACACGAGGAACATCCGATACCTCGTATGGTTGCCTCACTAAATTACAGAAAGCCGTGCACAGAAGCTTCGCCCCTCCCCTCCAGACAGCCAGGAAGCGAAACGCGGATGGAAACAATAGAATAGCATAATAGCCGTTTCGCAAGAAGGTGGAATGACCAAATCCACGGAGGAATTCACACGTGCTTGCAATATTGCTCCCTTTTGCTCTGTTTTCAGGCAGCAGTGGACCAGTCTGTCACAGCCGTACCACTGGGAATGTAAGAGGTTGACGGCCCGCCACGAAGGGGAAAAATCTCGCACGGGCTTCGCAGGACTCCCAGCTTCGAGGAGCCGCCACGGCGGCTCCCGCGGTCGGCACCACCGGCTATTCGGTAGTGCCCTCAACAGGAGCAGACAGGGTATGTAAGCCAGGCGCGAGATACACGAGCAAGACCTTCCCACCATGCAGATCCTGCTGTGCGGCGCTCGGCCGAGGCGTCCGGGGGTTCTTGATGATCAGCACCCCGTTCGCCTGTGCGGCACGCGGCCACGGCGTCCGAGGGGTCTTGTTGATCAGTGCCCCTTACCCCGTCGGCATTATGGGAGACTCGTGTGGGCTGACTTGTTTTCTTGGAAAGACATGTCCGCGCATTGACCACCCAATCTGGCAAACTGAATTGGCGTCTCCTGCGCCCTGAGAAAGACAGCGCGCCAGAGGTGCATCGCGCACATGTGGAGTCGGGCTGCGACGTCGCCTCGTTCGCGCCCTGATCCCTATAATCGTAGATGACCGCGTCGGGCTCCAGCTTCGCCCTCCCTCATCTCACACACGTTGGCTGGGTTAGGACAGTCGGGCTCCAACTCCACCACGCGCTGCTCGCAATGCGGTGTCTGGAAGCACACGCGCCGGGCTCCAACTTCGCCTTCCCTCTTCTCACACACGTTGGCTGGATCAAGGGCAAGGCTAACAATGTCGGTTTCCACTTTGTCGTCACTTCCGTCATCTCGCACACGCTGGTTGGACTTAGTCTTAAGCCAGTAGTGTCGGGCTCCAACTTCGCCACACGTTTCTCGCAGTGGGGTGTCTGAGATGGCGCCGAATACACCGTGCACGGTTCAATGGTGACGGCGGGCTGCGACTTCGCCTCGTGCATGCCCTGATCCCAGACCCGCAGATGATCACGTCGGGCTCCAACTTCACCTTCCGTCATCTCGCACACGGTGGCTGGATCAGGGACTCAGCATGTAATGTCGGGCTCCAACTTCGCCTTCCGCTTCTCGCAATGAGGTGTCTGGGGTGGCTCCGGATACACTGTGCGAGAATCACTGGCGACGTCGGGCTGTGAATTCGCCCCAAAAATGCCCTGATGCCAGAATCGTAGATGATCACATTGGGCTCCAAATTCGCCTTCCCTCTTCTCGCACACGTTGGCTGGACCACGGGCTTGGCTTGTAGTGTTGGGCTCCAACTTCGCCTCGCGCATCTCGCAATGACGTGTCGGTTGTAGCCACTGCTCTTCCAGCCCTCACGTCCATGCCATATTCTCCGGAGGCTGTCACTGTCTGGTATGCTGCATCTTGCGGAGCTGCTCCACCTCGCGGGTCAGGCGGTGGATGGCTTGCTCAGCCGACCACTGTGCCCATGCCCGCCGGGCTTTGAGCTCTCGCGGGGTAAGCCTTGGGTGCCACTCGTCGGCACCCATCCCGTAGCACAGCTAAACTCCAGTGTTTGTTGATGTCAGAAGCGGTCGAACATGCGACAGCCGCGACATAATGCCTCAAGCACCACGGGGAGGTCCTGGAGCAGGCTTGGGCAAGGAAGCCTGGGCCGAAGTTGCTTGAGAGGAGGAGGAGGAGGAGGAGGAGGAGGAGGAGGAGGAGGAGGAGGAGGAGGAGGAGGAGGAGGGGGAGGAGAAGGAAGAGGAGGAGGAGGAGGAGCAGGAGGAGTGGGAGGAGAGGGAGGAGAGGGAGAATGAGGAGGAGGAGGAGGAGGAGGAGGAGCAGGAGGAGGAGGATGATGAGGAGGAGGAGGAGGGGCTGGAAGTGAGGAAAGAAAAGGCCTTCTCAGAAGGCGGCGGGACTCCTCAGAAGCCCTCGCGCCTTCTGAAAGGCGTTCTTTCGTGTCTGCGGGGAAGGCTCAGAACAATCCTCAGAAGGCCGGGGACTTCCGAGCCTTCTGAGAAGGCCCATCCCTTCTCACTTCCCTCCTCGCTCGCCGCCGAGGCATATCCGTGTCGTGACGACCCCGGCGTTGGTTCCTGACGCCGCGGAGATCGCTCGACACTGGACGATCGCGTACCTCTAGAACGCCTGATTCTGGGCCGCTGGCGGCCTCAAGCCTGGAACGCTCGCCGCGGGGTCGCCCCCGCGTCGCCACGACGCGAACATGCCGTGCCACACACCCTTCGGGGGACTCGGGTTGGCCTGACGGGGCCATCATGAAAATGGCGCGACCCAATCGAAGAAACTTGACGCGAGCTCCCGCCGCAAGAGCATCCCACGAAAACTGCACCGCCAAAACCCATGAACATGCGCTCGTCAGAAAGCGTCGGCAAATCCGAGTTCCGGCGCACTCGAGTCTTACAACCCTCCTCGAAATCGAGCGCACGTTTTTCCCATGCGACGTGGCGGCGCTCCAGGACCCCAAAACTCCAGTGTTCGAACCGAAATTGGCGACTGCAAACACAACCATCCGATTCCGCGGGCCGCGCTTCGCGAGTCGATCAACATGAACACCTGCGTCTGATTTCCAAGAGGTCTGCACGGTTCTAGAGGCCTCCTCGATGGGGTCGGAGTAGATTGGGTCGGAGGACCGCGCCGCATCGCCGATACATCGCCGATGCATCACCGATGTATCGGCGATGCATCGGCGATGCACAGGCGATGCATCATCGACATGGGCGGTGCATCGGCGCCGTCGGCGTGGAGAAACGCGGGCTCCACATCGAGCCTCACCGCCGAGGCCCCGCGGTGCGGAGCGATCCTGCGACCCCATCTATGCTCCGACCCCGTGTGGGAGGCCTAGACCTTCGCCCCGAACTTGAGCAGGGACCGGCTATCCCGGCATTCCCGTAGTCCTACCACGAAGTGTTCTTAGAACCCAAAAACGTTGTAAGAACAAAACCACGGTTCTTAGAACATCCGCCCGACGTGTTAAAAGAAGACAGCCCCAGCCAGACATGTTCTACGAACATTGCGCGGGAAACACAACAGGTTCTGAGAACAGTGTTTGGCAGGACTCTCTGTAGGCACGCCGGGGCGCTCCGCCACTGCTCCCCGAACCCCCACGAGACAGCCCCGGAGCGCACCCCGCGGCCGCGGCGCGAGAGCGCAGCAGGGGGGGCCGCGGCGGCGGCGGCGCGCCCGCGGCCTGCTGGCGGCCCCCGGCGTAGGCGGCGCCCCACTCCTCGGGGGGGCGGGCCCGCTGCGCCCTCGGGCCCGCGGCTAAGCGGAGGCCGCCCGTGCGGGGGGGGGCCCTCGCTTCGGAGAGGCAGCGCCCCGCATTGAAGGGGCCCCAGGACACACAAATAAACACACACAAATATAATTACGCCCCATATTTTTCCATATTTTCTAGCTGCTTTTTGTCTTCCCCCCCACTTCCCATATTTTCCCATATTTTCTGGGAATCGACGATTAATTGTGTCTGTGTGTTTTTCCCCTCCTGACATCTCTCGGGCCGGGCGGAAGGGGGGGATAGCCAAGGGGGGGGGTTGGAGCATCAGCTCTCGTGGCTGATTTTCCCAGCGCCTCCCGGCGCCGGGAGGCGCCCATGCATCGAGGAAGGGGCCCGGCGGCGGGGCCGAAACCAGCTGCATGCAGACGATTTCGTATCCACCCCTTTCCCTATCCCCCCCCTTCGTCCGGCCCGAATCTCGGCACACCCCTCACGCGGCTCGTGGCCCCATAGGGAGCCCCGCCGGAGGCCCCGGTGGCAGGGTCCGCGTGGCGCAGCCGTACCCATGCCGGCACACCCCGCTCGCACGGCTCGTGGCCCCATATAGGGAGCCCCACCGGAGGCCCCAGGCCGTGGAGGCACTCGGGCTTGCCGGCGATTTTTGGCGGGCGCGCCCCGAGTCTTGACGGTGCGGCGTTCGTCGGATGCTCGCAGCGGGAGCTCGCGCCGAGTTTTGGGATTGGGCCTCGCGCCAGCTTTCCAGGGAGCCCCTCCTTCGGCGGCAACTCACGGGAGCCTCCCGCACCATCTTGTCGGCTCCTGCGAATCGACGCTAGATCGACGCTAAGTCGACGCTAGATCGACGCCAACCGACGCTGCATCGGCGCTGTTCCATCGACTTCAAAACGCGAATCGACGCCAGAGACGGAATTACGAACGTGTACGAGGCTCCGATGGTTTGCCACCAAACCCTCCTGCGCCCTCCCGGGCGGTCCCTTGTGCTGCGTCTTCGGGGGACCTTTCGCCTGTCCCGTCGCGGCACGATCCACGTCGGATCCGTGTCGTCGAGCCCGTCCGTATATCGAATCCGGGTCGGGCCCGTGTCGAGTCCGTGTCGAATCCGCGTCGGAACCCGCGTCGAACCCGCGTCGGAGTACAAGAGAAGACTGCAACTGACGGGGCAGGAGCAGCCAGCCGAAGACGCCAAGTAACCTCTCAGAGCACAAAGGAGCCCGCAGGGCAGGCTCAGGAGGAGGACGGATTCAGCCACAGAGAGACAAGAAAGAGGCCACGTGAGCATCAACTCTCGGCGCTCAGGATAGGCCCGGCGCCGACCCTACGCGGCGGTTTGCGCGGGTCGCTGACGCGGCACGCCACATAGGAAACGAGGGCGCTAACGCGCGAGCAGCTTACGCGAGCAGCTTACCCGCCGATGTCGGTGCAGACGGCCCCCTTTTTTCTACGCCGCCAAGCTCTTCTGCTTCCAGGCTCGGGAAGGCAAAGGCCGACGTGCGAGCGATCGACGCCGCGCGGGGCCAGTGTCTCTGGCGTGCCGCGTCCTGCACACCCCTTTTTGCGCAGCTGCGGAAGCAAGCAAGGCATGGAGAGGGCAAGGCCAGGGATGAAGCCAAAAATGCGGGCAGAACTTGTGTCCATATCCACTGCAGCGTGGGGTTTCGGGCTCCCTTCCCCAGAAAGCTTCGGAGCAGTGGATATGGATAAACATCAGGCCCCTACTAGAGGCTCGAATTTTATCCATATCCAGTGCGCCTCGGCCTTGCGGCGCCCCTTCCACGAAAGTCCAAGACGCCCTGGATATGGATATAAACATTTCCCGCAAAAAAAAGGCCCTGACGACCTCCAGAGCCCATGTGGAGCCTCCGAAGGGGGGGGCCTAGATCTCTCACCTCCCCTCCTGTGATCGGTCTCCTCCCAAATGGCCCCAAGAGAGCCCACAGTGGCACCCAGCCGGCGTCGCCGGGGAGGCGCCCAGCATCACCAGGGAGGCCCTCGAGCGGCCCCGAAGAGGCCCCCACGAGAGACCAGCGAGGCTCAAAGAGGCTCCTCCGAGGCATCAGAGACGCGCCGAAAAAAGTCCAAAGGACCACCAAGACCTCTACAGTGCGGGCGCGGCCGCAAGAAACCCTCGCAAGAAACCCAACCCTGCGAACCCGTGCGCGAGGTGCACCTGAGGGAAAACCCGGAGCACCATGAACGCAGCAGCTCCTTCAGCGGCTGCGGGAAGCCACCGCGTAGCGCGAGGAGCGAAGAAACCCGGGATACCCTGACGAAAAGCATATGGCTTCTTGGTGCGAGCTTCCACTGGACTCCTCCTCCTCCGACGCGCGGATCACGAACCTCGCGGCCTCGATGGGCGCCCCTTGTGCAAACCGCAGGCAGCCCGAGGCGGCCGAGGGCCCCCAAACGCCCCCGCCCGCCGCGGGCGCCCCTTGGCCCCGCCCGTCGGGGCGCACGACGGGCGGCGCGCGCAGCGTCAAAAGTTTGTGCTCGTGCACAGCTAGGTCGGGCCTGTCCCCCATGCAGGGGGATTTTGGACGAAAAATAAAACATACTAAAAACCGTCCCAAAAGATGCCCGAGGGAATCCAAAATAATAGTCAACAGACTATGGGTTGACCATTTTTGAATATTCCCCCTGTGGAGGGACAGGCCCGACTCAAGTGTACAGGCCTCCCAGATGGGGTCGGAGTGGACGGGGTCTGAGGACCGCGCCGCATCGCCCATGCATCGGCGATGCATCGGCGATGTATCGTCGATGCGTCGCCGACGTCGGCGCTGTGTCGGCGACGCTGGCGTGAAGCCGTCGAATCTTCAGGCGCATGTGCTTTCTCCTCGAGCGACGCGGCGTCGGCAATCCCGCCGTGTATTCCTGCCCTCGGGAACCGTTTTCGGCCCCCCGTGGGCCGTCGAAAGTGGACCCAGTGCTTGAAGTTACGTCGGGCACGTCCTTCGACAGGGATATTTTGAAAAGAAACCAAGCACATGCATTTCATATACATATATATAATCAAAAAGGTCACGGAAAATCGCCACCAAACTATCTTTTACGATTCTTGAGCGCTTCACATGTAGGCGACATACCCATCGGAAACCGTCGGAGGCGGCCAAGAGGGGGTCGTCCAGGAGGGGGGGCGCAAATCGTGGCCAGCGGCACGTGCGCGGCCCGGGGGGGGATGGGGCAGTGAAATTTGTGGAGGTATCATGGCCCCCGCCCTGATACAAGCCGCGGGATCAAACAAAAACGAACACGCATGCCACGTTCATCAGTCAACGCCTCTCCCTCCCCCCAACGCTCAAAGTTGGTGGTGGACCTGATGAACTGCACTTCGACCGCAGTCTCCCCCGAGCGTGCCCACTTTGAACTTGGGGAGAACGAGAATGTCCATCAGTTGCTCCCCTCCTCCGTAAGAAGCGGCGCAAAGACATCTGGGGAGGCACCATGGCGCCCGCCATGATATCCCTCCCCCCCCTAGTCCTAGGTCGGGCATGTCCCCCTGCAGGCCGATTTTGGATGACAAATAAGAAATGCTCCACAAATATTCAAAAGTACCAAGAATATATCAAACATCGCCCCCAGACTATTTCAAAAACTAATTTTGAATATTCCTCCTGTTCAGGGACACGCCCGACTCAACCGCAGCCGTGCCCCCCCCCTCACCCGGCCGCCCCCGAAGCCGTTGTCGGCCCCCCGGGGCCGTCGACAGTGGACCCGGGGCGCAGAGTTAGGTGGGGCACGTCACCGTACGGGCGGTTAGGTCAAGTGCGGCTGGGCACTTTCGTGCACCTGCGGCTGGACACTTCAGTGCAAGTGCGGCGGCTGGACAATTTAGTGCATCTGCTGCCAGATGCTCCTGTATGACGGCCAGACATGTTAGTGCAAGTCTGACTGGAGACTAGAGAACGTGGAGCTGGACACTGTAGTAATACGCCAAACATGCTGAGATACACAGTGAGACGCGAGAAGATAAGGCAAGGCAAGCGTAGTTAAGACAAGACAACATTCGATACGATAAGGTGGTCTTGTCCTTCTTCGATGTCGTGGCTCGTCCTTGATGGGCCTGTTTTCCACAACCACCACCATAAGTAGGAGTGGAAGGGGTCCTCCTCTTCCTCCTCCTCCTCCTCCTCCTCCTCCTCCTACTCCTCCTCTCCTCCTCCTCCTCCTACTCCTCCTTCTCCTCCTCCTCTTCGTCCTCCTCCTCATCCTCCTCCTCCACCTCCTTCCCTCCTCCAATATGGTGGTGGTGGAAAACAGACTCATCAGCCCTCGTCCAGCATGAGCGGTGTAACGACTCCTTCTGTGTCACATGCAAAATCTCAAAGAAATTTAGCCATCCTTGATTGCGAGGGAGCCAACGGCCTGACAATAACACCTCCTGCGATGGTCTGTGGATGGAAGAGGAAAGAAACAAGATGGTGATAAGCACCATCTCCCTGCCAACACCATCATTCTTGTTCCTCAGTGGCAGAGTCCTGGTGGCTTCTTGCAAACATCGATGGCATAGCTATCATAAACACAACATGCGCAAACATATCAGATCTGGAACCAAACATCTGGAAAAACATAACATACATCAACTGGAACATAATCAGAAACTTTGACAACATTTACGTAAACATTAACTTTCGGCGCTCTGCGCGAAGTTCTTGGATCTGCGCTGGCCACCCCCTCCCTGGCGCGTGGGGCGCGCCAGGGGGAGGCGCCGGAGGCGCCGCCAGGGGAGGGCCCAGCGCAGATTCAAGAGATCCGCGCGGAGCGCCGACAATTCATGTTTATGTCGCGTTTCCTCTTCTTCGATTCTCGTCGCCACGGCTGGATCCGCCCCGGAAAAGCCAGGATGGACCTCGGGAGGGGTCCGGGTACAGTGGGGGCCAGTCCGCAAGAAACCTTCCGCAAGAGACCCAACCCTGAGAGCCCAGGGCGTCCATGGATCTCTGGTGTGGGAACGCTACGCTTTCCATGGCAGAACAAACCATCGAAACCCAAGAGGCACCCTGGAGGAGGAGAAAAAGGAGGAGGAGGAGAAAAAGGAGGAGGAGGAGGAGGAGGAGGAGGAGGAGGAGGAGGAGGAGGAGGAGGAGGAGAGGAAGGGGAGGAGGGAGGGTGCTTCTGGGCATGGGCCTCCACTGTGTACCAGTGTGGAGCGGGCTTGGGCCCGGTGCGGGAGAGCCGACGCGCGCGGTGTCGGCCGGCCCTCCTCCGAGGGAGCGGAGCACACACACACACACGGTGCGAGGCAGCAACGTGTCTCGCCGAGGAGGAGGCGGAGGAGGAGGAGGAGGAGGAGGAGGAGGAGGAGGAGGAGGAGGAGGGGGAGGGGGAGGGGATTGGGGATTGGGGATGGGGGATGGGGGATGGGGGATGGGGGATGGAGGATGGAGGATGGAGGATGGAGGATGGAGGATGGAGGATGGAGGATGGAGGATGGGGGCGCGCAGGCATGGATGAGCGATCCATGGCTTTGGCGCGCGGTCGCCAAATCCATGGATCGGGGGAGGTGCCCTCCCCCAAAATGCGGCGGGTGCCGCCCCGTTTGGCGGCGGAAATCCGCGATTCCCCATGGAAACGGGACCCTCGTCGCTGATCCACGCCCCCTTGATCCATGTTTGCGATCGCCTGACACTCGCTGGCGCGGCTCCTTTCGTTCGGGCTCGCGGTTCGTCACTCGGGACCTCCTTATTCCCCTTCTTCCTCCTCTCGGCGGCGAGCGAGGGGGGGACGTGGGAAGGAGGGGACCGTCTCAGAAGGCTCCGAAGCCCCCTCGGCTCTGTCAGTTCTTTCTCTGAGCCTTCCCCGAAGACACAGCGAATATTTCCCAGGAGGCGCGAGGGCTCCTGAGAAGTCCCGCCACCTTCTGAGAAGGCCTTCTCCTTCTCACTCCCCCCCCTCGCTCGCCGCCGATCCTCCCCTCCGCCCACTCCTGGCCATCGCTCGGACGTTCCCTGTGCTTTGTTCGGTCTCGTGCGTGGTTTTTTTTCCGCAGGATGATCCAGGATGCTCCTTAATCATCCCCGCCGAGAAAAAGTGCACACGTCCGAGCGATACCAAGACTCTTTCTCCTCCTCCTCCTGCTCCTGTTCCTCCTCCCAGCTGCCAGGAGCGCAACGGTGGAGCGCGAGGAGCGGGCGGGGAAGCGGGCCTCGCAGTCAGTGATGCGGAACTTGTCCATAAGTTGGGCCACCGAATAGTTGCTGACCTCCCGGACACGCGGGGGGGAGGACGCGGCCGCTCGGTCGGGACACGCGGAGTCCTGCAAATTGTTGCGCGGGCGCGCGTTCGTGCGCGTGTGCTGCTGTCGCTCGATACGCCTGTCACCCATCCTCGCATACAACCGGCCCGTATCATAAGGATGCGCGATAAGGGTGCAAAGGGCTTGGAACGCCGACTTCGAAGTGGCCAAGTATGGACCGAGAAGGCAAACATACAACGGTACCCTTGGAAACGCTGCCCATCCTTACCATGCGGGCTGACAGTAGCCGCGATTCTCTTCCATCATTTCTCTTCTTCCCTTTTGCTTGGCGGCGCGCACAAGGGGGTAGGTGTGGGGTAGGGGGAGGGCCCCTCAGAAGGAGGCTGCTTTCTAGAAGGCGCTGGCCCTACATCTGTGAATCTACAGACGAGGCCCGCGCCTTCTAAGAAGCAGCCTCCGTCTAAGAAGCCGTCCCCCTCCCCCTAACCCTCCTCTGCGCGTGGCTGGTCTCTCCTTCTCCCGCCTTCCCTCCCTCCATCAATCCCACATCCCCCGTGTCTCCCGTACCCTCCCGTCCGCTCCTCTCCTCCGCCCCATCCTGCTCCATCTAGGGGAACGAACAATGACATAAGCAGAGCAACTCGGAAGTCCGCGCGGACTTCTCGGATCCGGGCGCCAGAGGCGCCGCCAGGGAAGTCCAGCGCCAATCCGAGAAATCCGCGCGGGCCTCCGAGTTTTATGTTTATGTCATTGCGCGTTCCCCTTATCCTCTCATCCGCCACATGCTGCTCCATCCTGCCATTCCTTCCCCTTATCTGCGCTCGCTTCTTTCCTTTTCCTGCTTGCCCCCTCCCCCTGCCAACCCCCGCGCTCCTCCACGCCCCATCCACCCTCTCAGGCCGTCGCCCCGTCTGTCCCCTTTCCTTCTCCCATCCGCCAGGGGAGGGACAGAAAGAGGAGGAGGACAGAGGAGGAGGAGGACAGAGGCAGAGGCAGAGGCAGAGGAGGAGGAGGAGGACAGAGGAGGGGGAGGAGGAGGTAAAAGACGGCACAGGCAAGTGGGGGGCCCAGGTCTTCGAGTGCCCCAGCTGGGGCTCTGCGCTTCGAAAAGGGCCCCTAGGGTAGTATATGGACACTAGCCCCCTTTCTTTCAGGGGGGCAGCCTGGGGCGCCGAGGCCCCCTCCCAGTCCTGCAGGCGGGCGCAATCGAAGGCTCGCGCAGTGCGCCTCCGCTGCGGGTGGCGCGATACTGGCACAGTGCCACTGGGCGGCGCGATCCTGGCGAGGCTGGCAGGCACGGCAGCGGCTTCATTCACACCTCAACGCCATCAATGACCTGCGCGCTGCTGCTCGGGACGGCGCCGACGCCCCATCCTGCAGCACGTGCAGCCTCCTCGTCGTGCGCTGTTATATCGATGCTGCTGGGGCGCTGCATCGGTTGCTGCTGCTGCTACGCCGTCTCCTTCGTCGGAGGCCGCTGCCGCTGCTGCGTCACGATCTTCGCGCCATGCATAGTCCATCCCGCGACCGCTGGGCTTGGGTACCTGCACGGTGGCTCGGCCGCTGCACACCCTTCTCCGCCCTAAACAAGCGCTCCCTCCGTCG